GGGGCCGGAGGCACGCACGCGTGGATGTGCAATAATGCCGCTTCCGCGGCCGCGCCTCGGGACCGGTCCTGCGGGTCGGTGGGGGGGGGGGTCATAACAAGGAGCCGTCCCCAGGGCGTGACTGCGCGGGCGCTTCACGCATCAGTGGTGCAGGTGCGGGGACTGTGTGTGTGCGCGCGCGCGCGCGCACATACGCCACTACGCAGCCAGGTGTCGTGGGGACAGCCTGGCGCACACGTCCCTCCGGCGCGCCCCGGCTTGGCCCCCCTGCGTCCTGGCCAGGGGCGCCCGGGCCCCAGGAAGGGCATGCGCTCACGAGAGCAAGTCCGGGTCAGCACCTCTTAGGAGGTTCGCGCGATCTTGCCGAGCTGGCAGGCGCGCCGGAGATTGCACCTTCCCCGGCGAGCACCACCTCGGGGCAACCATCCACCGGACCTCGATCCCCGTATTCGCCAGCATGGATGTGCGTGCGTGTGTGTGTGCGTGAGCGAGGCCAGGCGGGGCAGGACCGGGGAGTGGGGCGCCTGCATGTTTGATAGCCGCCGTGACAGATGCACACTGCGCTGGCAGAGGCCGGCGCTTGAGGCGGGCAGAATAAACACCCCCGTGTCTGCGGCTGACACACGGCAATCTGACCGGCGGCCCACCCCCGGCTAGCCCCTGCCAAGGTGTAGCGCAGTTCGCCCGGCGCCCGGTCGGCTCGGTGCCCGCCACCCTGCTGGCCGGGCGCCGCCAGCGCGCCAGTCCCCATGGTTGCAGGCACAGCCAGCCGGCGGGCCGGCCCGGCCCCGCCCCCCGACTGCTGGCTGGCGACGCGCCTTATTCAGGTGGGAATCTGGCGAGCCTGAAACGGATGCGCTCCGCGGAGCCGGCGCCCCACAGCTGAACCCAGGCGCTCGGGCATGCGCCTCGGAGCGGGCATGTGCTTGCACGGACCCCGAGCAATACTCACACTCCCAGTGGTCGGGGTGGGGCACGAATCCGGTTTCCGCTCCTGGGCCTTGAGCCAATGCTCCTCTGCCCCGGGCCCGGACCCCAGGGGGGGGGGGGGAGGGGGGGGGACGGGGGCGGGGGCGCTCGAGATCCTGCCACTCCGGGGCGCTTCTTTCTCGCCACCGTTCCCGCTTCAGGCACCCCCTCAAGCGCTGGCCTTTGTTCCCCGGGCTGTGGGGAGTATTTCCGCTTGGCCAGATCGGGTCTGCACGCACGCACGTACACACATACACACACTGGGCGGGACTGGTGCATGTCCTCTGCCGCGCCGTGCCCCCGACTCCGGTGCCCCTTTCTCCCAATACTCCCGACACCCGGGATCCTTCCCGCGGCCGAGTAGCAGTATTCCCCGGCCTTTGTTCCTCCCCGTCTATTTTCCATTCTGCAGATCGCTCCCCCCCCCCC